GTCAACAGGAAATGACACAGCTGATAAAGCTGCAAAAGAAGTAACAGGATTACTGCTTAGTGAAGAAACACAAGATTCTGATGATCTTTTAAAAGAAATGCAGCAACAAGCGCCAAAAGCAGAAAAAGAGAAATGGCTTAAAGAGGGAGCTATATTCAATGGGAGTTTGTACATGGGTCCAAACGATAAGCCAGTTCTACCTAAATCAATGTTTAAATGGGCGGCTTTAGTGAGCCACGGAGTAACCCATGTTTCTTCTGCAAGTATGTGTGGATTGGTGAACAAATATTACACAACATATGGGTACAATTTATACTCAAAACATTTTTGTAATCAGTGTGTAATCTGTATAAAACACAATTCACAAGGAAATATGAGACCAAAAAGGGGGGTATTTCCTAAACCCACACATCCTTTTGAAGAAATCCACATGGACTTTATCCAGTTAAATAAAGTGAATAATTTGGAATATTGCCTCGTGATTATTGATGCATTTTCCAAATGGGTAGAATTGTTTCCTTGTCACTCTCCGGACGCTCTAACAGTGGCTAAAGCAATATGTAAAAGAATTGTGCCAACATTTTCGATTCCCAGAGTTATCAGGAGTGACAATGGAACACATTTTGTAAATGATGTGATTGATAAGGTGGGAAAAAATCTCAACATAAATCTAAAAAGACATTGTAGCTACCATCCACAAAGTGCAGGTTTAGTTGAAAGAAATAACGGCACTATTAAAGCTAAATTGAGGAAATGCATGGAGGAAACAAACAGACAATGGCCTGAATGCATAGACTTGGTACAGTTAAGCATGCATATAACACCTACTCAGGGTAGTGCATTGACACCATTTGAAATATTATATGGTAGGTCATACACACTTCCAGATTTACAGCCAAATAAGCAGTTCTCTCCTGATGATAATCCTACGTTGGCTGACTATATGAGAAAAACATTATTGACTAGAGCGTGTCAAGAAACAAATAATGTTCCGAGTCAACCATTTTGTGCACAGGAGCTGCCTGTTCGAGTTGGAGACTGGGTGTTTGTGAAAGTCATCAAACGAAAGTCCTGGTCCAGTCCACGGTGGGAAGGTCCGCATCAAGTGCTTCTGACGACACCCACTGCTGTGAAGATAGCAGAAAGGCCCACGTGGATTCACCTCTCACACTGCAAAAAGAGAAATCTGCAGGATCTTGTGTCAACCACAGCGGAGGGGAAGGCTGACCTACAAAGGGGGGCAGACTGCTCGTCTCAACAGTCAGTGAAGCAGGGAGATCCTCCAGTGGTTTAATGCACAAGAAACACAGTTTGTACAACTTGATGATGTGCTAGTAACCTCTCATCTTGTGATATTGGTGAATTGGACTGTTTCAAAAAGGACTGTTTACAAGATGGTCTTCAAAGTATTCTCCACTCGACATGGACTTCGATGCAGTAGTGGTCTAATAATGCTGATTACATTGATAGTTATTGTGGTTCCATCACTGCTCTGGTGGGGGAGTCAACAATATAACAATGTCAAGCGTACAGCTAGAGCAGAAATAGATGTAGATCACTATAAAGACAACTACTGGTATCGCATGGCTGAAATAACAGCTCAGGCAAACAATATGTCAGATTGTTATGTTTGTGCATTTGTTCCTCATCATTCAAATTCAAATCCTTATATAACACCACATCCAGTCTCAGCTTTAACAACTATATGCACTATGGCTTTTTATACCTTACATTCAATTGGCATGAACTACTCTAAATATGTGGAATGGCTGCCAAACTGCACTACTCTTCCAATTCAAAAGGTAGCAGATTGGAGAGTTCCATTGAACTTCTCTTTAAGTACAAATATGACTAATGAGAAAGGTGTAACTGTGGCTCGATTTCCAGCCAATTCTCCTCTGTGTCTGAGTAGGAAATGCAATGTGCCGGGGCCCTGGGAGGATGCTAACCAATATGTAGGAACATCCACCTGTGATGATGTTCTGCCTATTGCCACATATAACCAACAAACCTCTGAGGTACACCACAGGTTATACTTCACTACTACTCCGACCGCACGGGAGTTCCCAGTGATTAATTTCACTAAAGTGGGTGAGGTCAGTGGAGTGGCCAACTGGTACTCATACCCAGCTTTTTTGGTTGAGGTCCCGGGTTTTTGGGGCTATCCATGCCCGTCAAACCAGGTGTGGGTTTGTGGAGATAAAGTGTATCTGTGGCTTCCAGAGAGATGGTGTGGAACTTGTCATCTGGCCACCCTAGGTCCGGCCTCCTACATCATTTCAAGTGATAACTTGACACAGCACTTGGGCCAGAGGCAGAAAAGGGCTGCTGCCACAGCGGCCAGAAGCCCACCTTTAATCTCAAATGTAAGAGGAGTGTTCATGACGGCATTTCCCATGTATGGAGTTGCATATTTAGGACATAGGATGAATGATATTGCATGGAATTTGGAGAATTTGACTAATATTGTCATGGACCTCACTGAACAAATCAGGGGAGATCCAGAGAGGGAGGCTATGCGTCAAATGATCATGCAGAATCGAGTAGCATTAGATTTTGTTTTATCTGAAACTGGGGGTGTGTGTCAGTTAATTAAGGATCATTGTTGTACGTTCATTCCATCATCCAACTCAAATTATTCACTAATTTTGGATCGACTAAAAAGTCTTAAAACTGAGATGCTAAGTGAGCGAGACAATGACAACATGAATTGGGACTTATTGTCATGGTTTTCTACTGGAGCATGGTGGCAACTGATATTGAAAATAGCGACACCTGCAATAATGATTTTGGTTTTATTTTGCATATTTGTCACTTGTTTGTTGCCATGTGCTAAGTCTTTAACCAACAGAATGATAAACACTGCAGTTGCAGACACATTGTTTTCGGATCAATGTCAAGCGTTGTTAGCTCACACAAATGTAAATGATGATTTTGAATTCTGTAAGTTTGTTATGAAGGTATTGCAGAAAACTGAGAAGAGATGTAATGCTGGATGTTGAAACTTTACATTTATATATTATGAATAGGGGGGAATTATGTCAATGGAGTATGTTATTGTGTTATTATCATATTAATAAATGTAACGTTTAGTCTAGTATGGATCTAGTAGCTAGTCTGGTGAGTGAAGAATGTGTGAAGCCATCCCCCAGCCATTAAGCACAGGAAGTTAAATTAAGAAGAGCGCAGAGAACATCTGTTTTTTAGTAGCCTCAGGCTTACTCTGAAAGGGGCTATGTGTTTGTCCTGAAACAGAGAAGGTATTGTCTTCACCTAAGGATGTTGGGACATATGTCTTCAATTATCATGTCATGTGACTGTGTGCTTATCACCGATAGCCTGTTCCTGAAGCAGTGTCTTTTGCTTTGGCTTGCCAGGGAGAGGGCCCAGATTGGAGAACCAGTCTGCTACATTTGTCTGTATCCTGTATCCTGTATTCTGTCTTTTATATATTAAACCTTTTTATATATCTAAGCAGAAGTTTTAGTGTCCATTTATCATCGAAGGAGAAACCGTGGCTGAACCAGCGTTAACAACTATACAAAACCAATGATTAATTACAAATCTAAATAAACCTATGAAATAATTAATATTAACATTTTAAACATTAAATTCTGAAAACCAAATCTGCATTCAACTGCTATCCTAAGCCCTATTTTTTCAAAAGTATAATGCTCTCTAAGATCATTTTAAATTTTATATCACCAAAATGTTGGGAAAAAATGTTTAATAACTTGTCCAGACGCCTTGGAAATGGCCAAAAAATAAAAATAATGCCTCTTTATAATCTAACTCAAAGTTCTGTGAACATATGACTCTATGACAGTAACATTATCGTGTATATAAATGTAATTTTCTACAAAAAATATATTTGGTATGCATCTCTCTTAACGGAGAGAGGGAGAAGAGCAGAGGGGAGGGGCTGTGTGGCTTCTCAAACAGAGGAGAACATGTACGACTGAAATACACCAAATTCATGAACATCCCCTTTAAAATTTGCTACATTTTCCTCGTTTTTTATTGTGACAATGTTTTAATTAGTGGTGAGAGTTTTCTCACGTCAAACGACACTTTACACTATCTGTCTTATCATTAAATACGTCAGTAATGGAAAACATTACAATTTGCTTACATGAATAATGTATTACTAGTTACAGCAGGATCAATCTTTTTAATAGTAGTACCTCTGTAACTATTAAAACATTACATCACAATACAAGAGAACTCCCAGAACTGATCCTTTTTGTCATTTCTCTACATGAAACTCGCATCTACAGCCAAGTGGCTCTCTGATCCTGATTAATCAGATCATTATTATTCAATAGTCAGAATCCAACAGTTTAAATACTTGGCTTTTTTGTTTAAATTAAATGTACCCTTTTTCCCTCAAGGCTAAAACGTCAAAACCTGACTATTGTTTTATCGCGTCCGATAAAACGCCCGTCACGGCGGGTCTGTCCACACCTGCAGTCATGCTGGGCTGAGACCTCTCTCTCTTCTATTAAAAAATAATGTGCAGATTTTCAAAAATATGATCTGCTTACCTTTTAGAAGCGACTGTTTTGCAGAGCAGAGAGTCTCCAGACCCACAGACCCAGTTTCTCTATCTGAGCTCATCTTGCGTCTTCTTTCTGTATCAAATCACGTCGGGGTCACCATTTGTTGTCAAAAAAGATTTGACTGACGTGTTCAAAGTTTGATACAGAAGTGAGACCAAGAATTCAAGAGTTAAGAATAGAACATTTATTTCTCTTTACAATTAAATATTGATACAAAACCCTTGGAGTTCTTGATTCCCTAAATCTATCCCTTTGCTGACTGCTCACAAAAAATGTCCTCCCAACCGTTTTATCAGAATGTCCGATGACGTCATATGGTCTGGGGCTGGTCCCTGGTCTGGACTTTGGTCTTGGTTTGGTCTTCCATATTAGGTTTAGCAAACAGCCCCCACCCTCAGAGGCCTTCCTATGTGAGACTAAGTAAACACAACTGCCTGCTTTATGGCTCCTCGTCCTTCACTCCAGAGCCCAGGAAAAAGTCAATGATCTCTGACTTATCTAAGGCTGGGGGAGCTCTGTATTCCTCACATGGTCTGGCCGACTCGACTAGACCCCACTAATATGAAATCACTGAAAAAATAAACGACGTGTGCAGCATTTCTTGAGATGATGCATCAGTCGAGGGTACCTGGCAACCGCTCGCCTTTTTCAGCCGCCAGCTTGTCCCCAGGGAGCGTAAATACAGCACCTTTGACAGAGAGCTGCTCGCTGTTTGGTTGGCAATCCGCCACTTCCGCTTCGTCCTGGAGGGCCGTGAGTTTACGGTTTTTGTTGACCACAAGCCCCTTACGTTCTCCATGTGTATACCACGGACATACAACACATTGCCGGCAAATCCAATGTGGTTGCGGATTGTCTTTCCAGGGCGATCGTTGGTGCGGTCCAGCTCGGACTAGACTACGCGCGTATGGGTGCAGACCAGGCCGCAGACCGCACCCTTCAGTCCCTCAAGGACTCGGACACTGGACTGCAGCTGGGAAAGGTCGCGGTCGGCGCTTCTGGGGTCAGGTTGTGGTGTGACCTCTCTACCGGCCAGCCCAGGCCTCTGGTCCCCGCCAGCTGGTAGCGGTCTGTTTTTGAGACTATACATGGCCTGTCCCATCCTGGCAGAAAGGCATCTGTTAGGCTTGTATCGCAGATGCTGGGTTGATTCTTGTGTGGCCTGTCAGCGTGCTAAGGTGCACCGCCATACCAAGGCCCCATTAGAACCTTTTGTTGTTCCGGAGAGGAGGTTTGACCACGTTAACATCGACCTGGTGGGGCCGCTTCCCCCTTCACGTGGTTTCACTTACCTCCTCACGATGGTAGACAGGACGACGCGCTGGCCTGAGGGCTATTACCCTCGCCTCTATCACGTCTGCCGATGTGGCTCGGGCGTTCATTGGCACATGGGTTTTGCGTTTCGGTACGCCCTCTGATCTATCCTCTGACCGGGGTGCGCAGTTTACCTCGGAGATCTGGAATGCTGTGGCGGGGGGTTTGGGTGTCAAGTTGCACCGCACCACCGCATACCACCCCCAGGCTAACGGACTGTGTGAACGATTCCACCGCTCTATAAAGGCTGCCCTTCGGGCCAGCCTGACGGACGGCAACTGGGTGGACAAACTGCCCTGGTTCATGCTTGGCCTTAGGACCGCCCCCAAGGAGGATCTGCAGTCCTCGTCTGCCGAGCTTGTTTACGGCCAGGCTTTGCGGGTGCCTGGGGATTTTATACCGGATGCTACGAGACCTTGGTCTGCTACTGAACAGCGGTCCTCCCTGCGGGAGGTGGCCATGGGGTTTGCGCCTGTTCCTAGGTCGCAGCACTGCTCCCCTGAGTCCCGGATGCCCGCTGGCCTCCGCTCTGCGTTGTTTGTTTTCGTCCGCCACGACGCCCACCGTGGACCGCTGCGTCCCCCTCATGACGGCCCGTTTAAGGTTTTGCAGCATGGGGACAAGAGCCTGGTCGTGGACATTGGGGGTAGACCTGAAACTATTTCCGTTGATAGGATCAAGCCTGCTCATGTGGACATTTCCAGACCGTTGGTGTTGGCCCAAGCCCCACGCCGCGGACGCCCCCCAGTACTTTGTCCCCCTGGTCAGTCGGGAGTTCCTTCGACCGGGACGGTGCCGGCTGCGTCCCCCGCTTCCCTCCCCTCAGCCCCTGCCACTTGTACTCGGAGTGGTCGGGCCATCATTCCATTCCGGAGTGGGGATTTTGACTATGGTTGAATTCTGGGGGGGCTTGTGTGTTGGTTTACATAATTCACCCATGGAACTGTGGTTACTCTGGTGGGGTTCCGGGGGGACGAGTTAAACCGTTGCACAGTTTTTCTGACTGGGAGAAATGTTTTTGGTTGTGTGAGTTTTGTTACCACTGGCTGTTTTATGGCATTAAAACGTGTACGTTTGTCACCGCTGTTTGACACACCGCCTCAGACTCCGCTCCTTACGCACCACAACATTACCTTTTTATCAAATCAAACATTCTACCAGTTACAGACCACGACATTCAAGCCAACGTTTTAATTGGTCTACACTATGATCCCTGATGGTTTGATGGTGGAATTTTGCTCCTGGTATATCATTTTCGTCTAAAGTGACAAGTGGTATTTGATTCATTTCGGCAGTGTTTGTCCGAAACATGTGGGCGGGAGTTGACAGGCGGCGGGGGCGTGTCTTAGTGACGTCATTCAGATAGTTCGCTATGACCCCTTGCATGGGCCTCACACATACAGTGTATGTGTGAGGCCCCGCCCCCTGAGAGAGCGCAGCTGTAAAGAGACGCAGCAGAGACACAGATGAAGAACAGACTTTAAACCTCTTTTATTCACCTGTGGATCTTTGATCAGACTTCAGTGTTGTGCTCAGACTGAGCTGCTCCTTACAACAGTCTGTAGAAGTCGGGGATTTTCCACTGGATGTTTTGGTCTGAAGGTGGGAGCAGACTTTTCTACTGTCTCCATGGCGACGCTGAGGAGAGCTTCTGTGGGCTGACTTGGTATAAAACCATGTGAACGCTGTGAAGACATGGTTCAGCTCCAGTTTCAGACCTCAAAGCTGTGTTTGAGCCAGCACAGCCTGTAAGTTTGTGTTGTTTGCCTGTTAGCAGGCTTGCATGTTATTTTTTTCCCATTTGGATTGTTCCGGGGTTGTGTTTAACCCGGAATGCTAGCGCCGTATGCTAGCGCTGTTACATGCTACCGCTAACATTAGCATTAGCCTTGTATTTGTTCTGCAGCACCTTGACAGTGTTACATGTTTATATTATGTTTTTTGAATGCACAACTTCAGACTGTTTTTCTCTATTTATTACATATACATGTATATATTTATTATTATTTTCTTTCAGTATGGTGGCGATAGAGCAGCTGCTGGCTGGCGGAGGAGAAAGTGAGTGTTAAAGAGCAACAAAGGTGGAAAGAAGAGTCAAATAGGATCTTGGGCCAATGTACATGATATGTTTGAAAACAAAGTTATTAATGAATAGTTGGCCTTAGTAAATGTTGTTAAACATTTGTTAATGAGTTGTTCCCATTTTATTTTATGTACAGATTATTAGGTCATCATTAGGAAATAAGCGGTCGAAATGAGCTTCCTCCGCAGAGTGGCTGGGCGCTCCCTTAGAGATAGGGTGAGGAGCTCAGTCACACGGGAGGAGCTCGGAGTAGAGCCGCTGCTACTCCATGTCGAGAGGAACCAGTTGAGGTGGCTCGAGCATCTATTCCGGATGCCTCCTGGACGCCTCCCTGGGGAGGTGTTCTGGGCACGTCCCACCGGCAGGAGGCCCCGGGGAAGACCCAGGACACGCTGGAGGGACTATGTCTCTCAGCTGGCCTGGGAACGCCTTGGGGTCCCCCCGGACGAGCTGGAGGAAGTGTGTGTGGATAGGGAAGTCTGGGCGTCTCTGCTTAGACTGCTGCCCCCGCGACCCGGCAACGGATGAAGCGGAAGGAAACGGACGGACGGACGGACGGACATTAGGAAATGAGGAACAGTCCCTACTTTATAATACTGTTTGGGAAAAGAGTAATTAATGAGTAGTAAACATAAACGTACACTCTGTTCATATGAGAAGGGATAACTCATGTTTTGTAAATGATTTGTTAATATGAGCATTCCGTTACCATGTATATTGTAAGAATCATTTGTAAATGATTATATAATGTCATGATTTATGATTAAATGTCAATAAAACATTGGAAAATGTGTTGTATATTTTCTGTTTCTGAGTAGTTCATGATATGAATACTTAGTAAATGAGTTGTTACTATGTAGATCATGAGTAGTATACTTTTATTTTGATGTTGGTGAATATTTAACATACCACCTAATCATTGTTCATGAGCTGGAAACACTTAGGTAATGAGTATTAGATGTGAATTTCAACATTCTTAATGATTAAACAATCATTAGGTATTTATTATATTTTATTATACGGCTCCTCACAGCAGCAGTAGAACGCTCCATTGATTTGAATGTAATTTCAAAACGTTCTACCGGTCATTATTTTTTATAACGGACCTCTAAAAACAATAATGACCGCTGCCCATGGCAACGCACTCTCTGCTTGTATTTCAAATGCGTGGATAACTCCGCAAGTAGTTCCGGCCACTCCTGAGCTAGCCACGCTCAATCAACACACTTAAATGTTAATCGGAGAATACTTATACATATACATTCTTCACACACGTGCACGGAAATTTTCAGAATTTTCTGGTCTTGTCTTCATGACAAAAATACTATTTCTCTGCGTCAAAAAGCGATGGTGAAAAACCCGGAAGTAGTTCTGGCCGCTCAATAAACGCAAATGCCAATCAATCAACGCAATGAAATGTTTATCAGAGAGTGAATTATACATATCCAGTCTTAATACGAGTGCACGGAAGTTTTCAGAATTTTCCGTTTACGTTTTCATGACAAAAACACTGATGTAATGCGAGAAAAGGCGATCCCGAAAAACCCGGAAGTAGATACCGGCACATTTTCGGACACATTTGCAGAGGATCGAATTATGGATTTAGGTTAGGTTTATGTATGGGTCACTCACCGCTGATGTTCAGAATTCTTTGTTCAGTTTTCATGCAGTTCCAGAGAGTTCTAGTTTGGAAGTTTCCAGCCTAACTGTTGCTAGCATAGCCACAATTGTCAAAGCCACACTGCCTGCCCGCGGTTGCCGAGCAACGGGAAAACTTTTTGGGACTACTTTATTTGTTGTCATTAAATAAACTTTTGGCATTCATAAAAGTGATCTGAAGTTTATTTTGTGTGTTAAGGGTTAGGGTTAGGGTTAGGGTTGGGGTTAGGGTTAGGGTTAGGGTTACCCTAACCTTCAGGGCGGAAGCAGACCCCTCCGCTGCGCGTCGGGGTCCGCTTTGCCCTGTCGGTACTTATTTTCCGATAATGACCTGTATGCTATACATTATCCCTTACTTAATTCATAAATGAGTGGTTAATAATTAGCTCATGAGTAGCACATGGTTATAATGTTTACATGTGAATAATCAACATTTGAAAATGAACTAATAACAATTAGTAAATCATGTGTGAATAATTTATGAATGATTATAAACACTTAAATAAAACATGTCTTAATGAGTACTACATTTGTTCATTAGTTTGTAATGATTTCCAAAATAGTTACAAATAACACTTGTTAATGAGTTGTTAATGTTTAGATGATTATTTAATATAAATACGTTAATGTTTTATTAACTAGTAGTCAATGATTTATAAATGATTTATAAGCAAACAGTATTATAAAGTGTTACCAAAGTTAATTATTTCTTTGGTCTAAATGGGGGTGAGTGTTTTTCTAAATGTAAAAGGAAGCTTTAATTAACTGACATGTCATACCGGCGTGGTCAGAAGTGACACGCTTTTTCCATTGTAGATCAGAAAATAGATTTTGTAATTGATTGCTCAGAGCTCCCACTGCAAGGATGCACTTTTATTTAGGGCTGCACAATTTGAAAATCTTAAAACTTGAACATTTGTATTGACTGAAAAAGTTCTCATCTGAAATGCCACTGTGCAACAATAAACCAATATAACAAAGTTTTGTGTCATGGTCCCTTTTTCTTAAGACTAGGAAATTAAGATTTGTTTATGATAAACCTGTATCAAGAAACTAAAAACAAGCAAAACATCTTGTTTCTGGAGTTTTGTGTCTTTTATTAATTCAGGTCCAGCACAGGTGGTCTTATTTGGTTATGCTATACATTTAAGTTTCTAAAATAAATTGTTTTTCCATGCAAAAATTCTAATTGAAGGAACAATCCATAAATCATTGCTTCACTTTAGTATAGGGGACACAATCATCATGAAATCATGATGAATTAAGGATCAGCTAATGATGAGTTCATGACAGCCATACATTTTGTCCTAGAAAGTTGCACATTGTGTCGTCCATAATTAGCAAGTAGATTTTCATCATGAGTCATGATGTTCATGTATGATCCTCATGATCATGATGTTCATGTATGATCCTCATGATCATGATGTTCATGTATGATCCTCATGATCATGATGTTCATGTATGATCCTCATGATCATGATAGGTTGATCATGTTGTCATTTTATTGCCGTTTCAGTAAATTCATGGTATTCTTATGTGATCCTCATGATCATGATTCATTAAGATTTTAATGTTAATTCATTACAGTAGTTCAACCATTAATTCATGGATGAATTCATCCATGAATCTACATGTAATCATGTTAGTTCATGAGAATTCAGGATCTAGTAATGCATGAATGTATCATGAACTAATGCATTAATTCATGCATTAGTTCATGAGAATCATGCATGAACTCATGTACCATTAATATAAAGTGTTACCATAATTTGTGAATAACTTTTAAAACAAAATGTGAGAGTAAATGAAAAGAGTGAATCCATTCGAGACTTTGAACTCTGAAGAGGAAGTGCTGTGTGCATTTGTGATTAATGTCATTGTTGTCAGAGACACGGGTGCCATGGCAACTGTTACCAAAACGGGCTTACAGTTTGTGAAGAGGGAACAACAGCGAGGCTAACGATTAGCTTAGATTAACGAAACAAACTGAAAGTTTGAATCCTCAGGATCCACACGACTCAAACCTGACACGTAAAATACATTAAAACAGGCTCACAGAAAAGTCCAAGCAAATGCAAGTTATTCATGAAACTAATGAACTCAAAACCAAATTATATGGTAACAGTTGCCATGGCGGCAGTCAAAACCATTGCAA